CCCCAAAACCCCAAAACCCCTCATTTAGAAATTTGACACCATGATAAGAAAGTAAAAATTTATTAAGTTGGAATTTATATTTAATTCAAAGATATGCAGCAATCTATTTTCCAGCAAAAGCTTACTTGGGTAACAACAGACGAAAATAAAGTTATCGCATTCAGAGGTTATAATCCATAGCTGAAGATTGATGGTAAAGTTAAGGACAAGTATGAACATAAGGATGTATTGTACAAGAGACCAAGTGAAATCAAGTTTGAAGAAATTGAGAGAAAATAGATATTTAATCATGCAGTACATGGCTTGATAAAAGCAAAGGATATAGTAACTGAGAATAAAGAGAGAAAGTCAGTAGTATTCTTTGCTTTCTAAGACGGTAAAACTAATTCTGAACTCAAATACGAACTCCTTCAAGATAATATGAAGGAGTTATCAAGAAACATCACGGTTGAACTAAAAATTAATCTTGCCAATGGTGAGACAATCACCCAGGATTTCATAGTTGATCTGAACGGGAAACTAACTATTGGTGAATTCATTTAACCGCTTTAGGCAGTTACCGGCTAAATCTTATAGGTCTTTGCTAATGGTAATGCTTAAACTGCCAAATAGAGAGCACTTAGTATCATGAAGAATGAATCAAAGCTCTTGCTGTTTTCAATGGGAGAAGGAGGAAAGTCAAAACCAGAGGGACCAAGAAAATTCGTCAGATTTCCTACTCATATCCTTACTGAGGAATTTTATGTTAGTACAAATGATCAGTCTATTTGCTTTATTCCCAATGAAGATGTTATATTGATTGGATTCGGATTTTATCGTCATTACTATGATCATATCGACACTATTCAATTGAGAACTACCGTAAGAGTACATGATGCCAATGATAGTGCTCTGATTCAAGAGCATCCCCTTACTCACTACTATGTAAAATACCCAGATATAGAAATAGATCAGAATAAGATTCAATGGTATGAACATCTTGATTAAGGCTGTCCACCAATTAAAGTACTTGCGGGCCAGCATATGCATGTGACAACGATGTACTTTCATCCTAATACCGGTGAGAGATTTTTCTCAGGAAGAAATGGATCTAAATTCGCTTAAGTTGATAACATGGATATGGGTCTCTGGTCTGTAAAGGCCTCAAGATACTCAACTTATTTAACTGATTTGGAGCAAGGTTTGATTCCAGGAATCATTTACAAATTCGCTTGATATTTCACTCAATCTTTAAAGTTGATAGCAGATCATTAAACTTTAATTTCATTTAACTGATTTCTTAATTACAATTCATTGCAATGGGGTTTTGGGGTTTTGGGGTTTTGGGG